TGTAAATAGAAAATTCGACCAATTCCATTTTAGGAATTCTGCACATCATTACAGATTAATGGCACCCATCAATTTGCGATGTTAGCCTTCTGGGAAAGAAGTGTCATAAAATGTAACAAATGGTTAAGGCTCTCTAAAATAAAACCCAAAATATAGGAAAATGCTTACATTACCATGTCTCACACAGACAAGACATGAAGAACTGATGTGTTTTTATTAAACTTCTATAGGGTTGGCTAAGAATATACATCTTTTACACAAAAGATTGAGGGCTATTCTATGGAAAGGAATTTTAGGAGGTCCCTATGCTAAAATAATAGGGATGGAACAGTTTATGAATACCGTCCGAACCGTTCGGTTCGACTGTCTCGGTTCGATTCGTGTGTGTTGTGTTCGGTTCATGTGCTGCTCTTTTTTCTTATAGTCGAAGCGTTTACACTCCAGAGCAGAAGGTGGCGGTACTGCGACCAAAGCCAACCACCAGTAGTAAACAAGAAGAAGAAGCGAAGCAGTGTAGCCGGGTGTAGCAGAAAAAAATCAGTTGTTGTGGAGAATTGTGTGGGTATGGCGAGTGGGAAAGAACAGGAGTTGGAAGACGCGCCAGCAGCACTTTATAGGTCTGCTGTATGGGAGCGCTTTGCATTTAGAGTGACCTACGATGACGGCGGAAAGAAAGTTGTGGATAAAAGTGCAACAGTGTGCAAGCATTGTGCAACACGTTTTGTTTATGCTTACAGCAACACGACCAACATGTCAGGCTAACAATCAACATATACCAAACCGAACCGAAAACCGTGAACCAAACCGGAGATTTTGTGAACCGTTCCACCCCTATAAAATAACTAATGCAATTTCAGACCGTGTGTTGCAGAAGCAGCAAAAGCAGTAGATTAACGTGCAAAGTCGACACGTATCAAGGTGAATCAAAAGGTCCTGCAGTGTGTTTAGAGCAGAAGGAGTAGCACATCTTGACACAACAAAGGTGAAGCAGCGCCTCATGAGCTACTAAGCATCTATGGCACGAGACGCGCGGCACAAGCAGCAGCGGCTGGACTCTGAAAAAATTTCTACTTTTGGTGCTCAAGGCGCCACATAGAACAATCATAGAAGCTTATCTCTGGGGTTTCAGGGAGACAATCACAGCCATGCTGATGCAGAGCACTATGGTCATTCCAGTTTATTAACGCCTAAATTAACTTAAAATGTTGAAACCTGCCAGCAAAATATGTTCACTTCATTATCCCTGTGCCTGCAGTCTGGATTACTTATATAAAAAGCGCCTTCCAGCCGCTGTAAACAGTAGCGGAAAACCCCCAAGAGGCGACCGGGCCAGAGGCTGCCGTTAAAGGCGATTTCCATTGACAGCACACCGCCGGTGTACGAGGGTTTGGGGTAGAGGTCCAACAGCAAAATACTGTTTGAAGGCAGGTTCGTAATCTGGATCTCACTTAAAAACATGACTACTTATAACAGCAAATATAGCAAAGCCACTTTCTGCCATTGAACACAGGAGCAGCAGAAGCATCAGACACATCTTGACAAACTTTACTTTTTTTCTGTTTGCTGCTTCCAGCACTTACAGTCTGAACATAGCATAACAATAGGAAGCATCCTGCTTCCTCTTCCTACCTCCTTCCTCACTGCCATTCATACATGGACAGCACTTGTCATGGTGACTGCCAATGCACTTCTGCTTTGGCCTAAGATATAATCAGAAGGACACCTTGTCTTAAAAATATACAGCCGCTTTCATATTGGGCAAAATGTAACTCCTACCTCCTGTGTCTTCACCTTTTGCGGGGTCAACGGTAAATGTGTCCTGGGTATGAAAGAAATTCAATGACCTTAAGTGCCCTTACAAATTTGAATGTTTTGCATATAGCTTACATTTTTGATACTTTGGTTTGACCACTTGAAGCTAGGTTTGAGATTTGTTGGTTGTGTAGGGCATTAGGTCCACATAAAGAGACTGCATTTGAGAGCAGGGTAGAACATTTTTCCGACGTCCCCTGTGGCGGCTAAACATGGACAGCCCAAACTACAATTGACATTTTTTTTCCATTTATTGTGAACACTGACCTTGCATTACCTAATAACTTTCCAAGAAAAACAATTGTGGACTTATGAGATGCCTTTGTTTGGGGTTTTTTTCTCCTACACTCACCGCATTACCAGTACGGTTATTTTGCCCTTTTCGGGCCAATCCTCAGTCGTGCAAGAATTTTTCGGATCAGGTCGAGTTTCTGTCTTATCGAGCGTCCTGCATCATGTAGTATGCAGGGGGTAATAGAGGGCGATTAGCTTCTCACGACCACTTCCCAATCAGGAATTGAAAGGTCAGGAGAAAATCAAACATATTTCAAAGTCAGTCGGCCCTTGTGAGCGTCTGTGGGCAAATCCTGCTGTTGCACCAGAGCTACAGTATGAGTGTCTACAAGCCGATTAACCAGAACCTCGTGGAAACATCCTTCTACGAAGTTTTGGTAGTTTTTGTCGTACAGTGTGAGCAGTTAGAGTGCATTAGAGTGTTGGGCTGAACATTGTAAGAACATGTTTCGTGAGCTGGGATCTCTTAAACGCTGTGGTTTCATCATAAAGTTTGAGCTGCAGCTGAGTACGATTAAAAACTATCGTACAGTGTATACCCGGCTTAAGGCAGTGTTAAATCTCTACAAGTGTTTAATTTTTACATGTGTCATCTAAGTTAGGTTCCCTGAAAAAAATTTGGACGGTTCACCATGACAGGATTCTTGATTCTAGATTTGTTGTAGAATTTGGCTAGCCTCGTGATACTATCCTGGTCTCGCGAGCTTTCAAGGT